TATAAAATATTCATAATCTATGAATAATATATTTAAAAAAGATAATATATATATCAGAAATAAAATGATAAATAGATTTAATACTTTTTTTAATCAAGGATAATTCAACCAAAATTAGCAAATTCCTTATCTAATATTTTTGAATAATCATTTGACATTTAATCTGATAGTTCATTCATTTTCTATTTATATTTATAATCATGAATTTAATAATCAATATTATTATTCATTATTTATATTATTATTCTATTTGAATCCATAAATGATATATATAAATCTATCTTCACCTAAAATTTTATTAGTTTAACTGGGATCTCTAAAGTAATTTATTTTGAATGTTTTTTTAGTTATTTAATTTAGAAAATTTACTTGGAATGAATACTTTGAAAAATAAAATCCCATAATATTTTATTTCTAGTGAAACTTTTAACGTTTACAAATAGATTATTTGCTAAAATACATAATAATGTAATTTATTTATTGAAAAAAAATACCAAAATGAAAAAAAATTAATTCGAAAATGCAAATATTGTTCTGAATATTTCATCACAATAAATCTTTCTTTAAACAGCGCTTTATATGAATGGATTCAGTGAAATTTATCAAATAAAAAGATTATAAGCCCAATCAGCAATTATAGATATTATATTTATTTGTTAAGAAATAGGAACAGAGTATTCTATTATGGATTTTTTAATTAACATTTCAATACATTCTGGTAAAATATTACAAAAAATTACTCATAGGTTTTAAAAAACAATTATATACTGGATTTTAGAATAATAATTGATATATATTTTAAATATAATATGGGGCAAAGTAAATCTAATATTCTATTTCTATTTGAATTAATTGCATTTTGAATTCTTGATTTTGAATCATCAATCAACATTTAGAATATAAATTAATTTTATTTTTTAGTTATGTTCATTTTTAATAATTTACAAATATTTTAGAAAATCTTTACTGCAAAAGCAGTTGATTTGACTAAACAGATGTTTTTTTAAAGTTAACATTTTTCTTCAATTTAAAATATATAATATATTTGGGCAAAATTAATGATGATTTTAAAATTTAATCTCTGTTTTGGAGGTCAACTAAAGAAAAGTTGGTTATATCCTTAAATCAAATAAAATTACTTTTGTGTGACTTTTAAGCTAATATTTAAAATTAGAAAAAAAAGGTGGATAGTAAATTATTCTAAAAGAATAAAATTATTTTTCTAAAAATTTTTGATTTATGTATGTATACATCCTTAAAATTTAAAGTTTGAAATAATAATAATAAAAACTAAATAACATTTAATATAAAATATTTTTAATATATGCAATATTGAAATATCTATTTTTTTATAGCAATTTTAATAAGTACATATGAAATATTTTTCATTTTACTATTTATTTTATTAATAATAGAGTAAACTTGTTAATTCATAAAATTCAAGATGTGTGCAATATTTTATTCTTGTTGGTATATTAATTTTTACATAATCTAATAGACAAATCAATTTCAATTCTACATTTTAATTTTAATAAATTAGAGAATTTAATAAGGAATTATTTTGATTACTTACTGAAATTAAGAATTAGTCTTGAATTTCATTTTTTTGAAATAAATCTGAGTATTTTTTATTTCTATAATATTTGTTAACCAATATTTCCTTTATTATCGTAATCTCATCTATTGATTCATGAAATTCTTTATATGCTTCAGACCGAATATCCCAAATTAAATCAGAAAACTATGTTGCAATCTAATTACATATGGGACAATTAAACTATTAATTATCTTAAAATCTAGCAATAAATTCATTTAATTCAAAGCAATCTTTTAAATGTTGACAATTTTTAGTCAATACCTATGTAATAATGATAATTTATACAGGGTAATCATATTTGCTTCCATTATTTTTTTTATTTTTAAAGAGTCTAATCTTATCAATTTCAGGTTTTCATTTATATTTATCTTACTATTTAGTTATTAATACTTGTATTAAATAGTTCATTGGATTGCTCATTATTTATTACATTTTAAATTATGATTAAATATTATAGAACTAATAAACTTTAATAAGAAATATTTAACTACAGAGAACAGCAAACTAATAATATCAATGTTTTGCATGATCAAAATAATTTTTTAACCTTAAGACATTTTATAATTTATTAAATTCTTAAACAAACATCCAAATTAAGGTAATTAATTGGAGAACAATTTTCAATAAATTCAATTTTATATTTGGTTAATTTTCATTTTAATTTATTAAATAAATAAATGATTAAATATTAAAAAATTGAATGAGGAACTTCTTTGGATCTGAAGATTTATGAAGAAAGAATATTTTTAAAAAATTATATATCCTAAAGAATAAGTATTATAACTTAATAAAATAGATAACAATGGACATATAAATTCTCACAATGTTATTATAAGAATAGTAATTGTTAAATTGATAAAAAATTTTAAAACAAAAAAGCCTCTTGCAAATAACTTAATAATTTGTTTGTTAATTCTAAAATCCAAATATTGTAATCAATAGAAAAAAAAATAATTAATTAAGATTAAGATTTTCTTCTCTCTTTCAAGAGAAGATCTAAAATAAATAACTATATATTATTTTTTCTAACTAACATTTAATTGGAAAAAATGTAAATTAAAGACTTTTAAACTTTATTTTGATGCTTGTTTCTATATTATAGTTAAATTTGAACAATAATATTATTAATTAGAATCATTCGAGCTTTTGGAATCGTATATTAAGGATTTTCCTAAAATCTTGATTATCATAAGTTTCAATTATTTTTTAATAAACCTATTAATCTATTGATATGATAAAATTGCTATATGATATTCTATTGGTTTTATAGATATTGTTTTATCAATTTAATAGTCAAATTAATGAACAAACAATTGATATCTAAAATTGTTAAACAGAGATTAATAGCTTTATAATTAAAAATAATTTAATTCTGACTTAGAGATTAGTAAAAAATAAATTATTTTTTCTTAAATATAAAAAAATAATCCAAATATGAACAACAATAATGTAATAATTTTAATAAAAATATGAATTATTGTCAATTAATTAAAATGATGGTTTTTTTCAATAGCAATAAACAATCAAAAATTCATAAATATTAACTGGATGTTTAAAAATGATCAAAATTATTTTAAGTAGAAAAAGCCTATTTTATTAAATACATATCAACTCCGATTAGAATTTTTTTTATTCCTAACTTTTTCAACTTTATACTTCAAATTTTCATTTAATTCTTAGAATAACTTAAAGGTTAATGGTTATCTTAATTAAGTGCAAAGTGTAAATATTTCATGAAATATAGAAAATTAAAAAAAATTATCTGAAGATTAAGGAAGATCCTTTATCCTATAAATGATTAACTTAGAAAGCTCTTATAATATAACAATAAAATTATGGTCCTGTTCTATCAAATCTTCTAACATATAAGGAATTTATATGCAAACTATATATGATCAGAGATAGTCAATAAGATTTTTATTTTATAGATAGTTCTACTATTTATCCTCAAATCAAATAAGAATATTTTGTGACTTTTAAGATATTCTATAAGCTTCGATTTACTTTCTCGTGAATGGTTAAATAAATAGATGTACATAAGTTAAATTGCTATAAATGCTAATGATAGAATATGCTTTTTTTGAGTAAAACTGAATTAATAGACATCTTAGGCAACAATTAATAAATTTTAGAAATAATTAAATATATTTTGTCTAAAAAACTAATGGCAATATTTTTATAAGTTAAATCTATATTTTTTAGAACAATAACATTAATCCTACAAAAATTATTGATTATTTTTTCATGTTTAATTGTTTAATATAAATGGTTATTGTTAAAACAACTTTTTTGAAAATTTTAGATTAAATTAAATTTTTATAATGGCATGATATAGATAATTTTCTGTTTTGATAGAATATAAAAGTATTAAATATTAATAGATGTTTTAATTTGCTAATAAAATATGTTAATTAGCAGGAATAATAACAATATTATATATTTGAAAATTGATTAATTATCCAGTATATGAATTTCCTAAAAAAATACAAAATATAGATCTTAATGATAATGTTGTTTATAATTAAATTTATTCAAATATAATATTTTTAATATGTATCTAAATAAAGTGAAAACATTAAATAAATAGAATAATTTAAGTTCTATTTATATTTTTCATAGACTAATAAAAACCAATAATTTTTTTATGTTAATAATTATATCTATTTAATTCAGATTCATCATTACAATCATATTTTTATTTCTTTTTCTTTTAGAATATCTACTAAACCTTTTCTGTAAATTTATGAATATTTTATATAATATTAAATTTAATTATTATTATTATAATGAACTAAAATTCATTTTATGATTAAGTCCACCCTCAATTAAAGAGCAGTGTGTTTGATAGTCATATGCTAATCGATAGAGAAGAGAAAAAGCGGTATTAGGAACCTGTAATCTATTATTACATGTTAGGTTGTAACTAAGGATTGTGTCAATCATCCAAAATTCTGTTTTGAAAAGAAAGAAGCAATTTAATAGATCATGTTAACTAAAGTTTATAAATGTCCAATATGTCATAAAATTGCTAAAAATGAAAATGATTTAATTTAAGATTGGAGATCTTAAGCATATCGAGAATTCAATTAATACATTACTGAAGTTACAGTGATTATAGGAATTATGGTTAACAAATATGTCAGAAAATAAGCAAGATATCAGAAATTTTTTATGGAAGATGTTTATTAGAAGGAACTTAAAAATATGTTTGATAGGATTAGTTAGGAAAACTCTATTAATTTTTTAATGAAAAACAACTTAAGTGGTAGTTAAGATTAGCAAAAAAAAATTTAATTTTGGAGTTTCTGTTTGTTAGATAGAGTAAAAATTACTATTCCTGTTAGAATAATGGGATGTAAGCATTATGAGTGCTATGAATTAACAAGTTTATTATTTTATTAGCAGTAAAACTATAAAAAAAAGCAATTCTTAGAATGCACTCAACCTGGATGTTCAAATAGATTAAAAATTGCCCATTTAGATTACACTACAATAGACAAAACACACAATTTAAATAATGTAAATTAAACTCAAAATAATGCGGCTTAAGTTTATGGAGAATGGAACTCTAATTATCAAGTCCACATCGAAGAAGAAAAATAGAAAATTTTGGATGTTCAAGCATTATTTGATGGTATTTAAATAGATTTAGATTTATTAAATGCAATAAAAAGAAGTCATCCAAGTTCATATAAATTTTATTATAATCAGGGCACTTAAAAAATTGAAGAAGATGTTTAAATAATTAATAACAAATATATTGATCCATTAATAGAGAAATATTATTAAAGTAATAAAGAACTTTAATAAAGATAATAATTCGATGATTTTTAAAATTCAATATTATAATCTGCAATTTCGGTAAGTTAGGGAGATCTGTTGGTAGAGGATAAATAATTAGGCAAGAAAATAGCCTTATATAAATATAGAAATTATAAAGTAAAAATGGTAGATCTTTTAACAAATAAGATAATTGAATACCCTGTAAGATGTAAATTCTGCACTGATTTAAGTGTTTGTATGGATATGAGAAGTTATATTGCAGATTTCACTTATTAAAAAAAGATGTTCCCAAATAAAAATTATACTTGTCCTCTATGTAAAACACAATAAAAGTCAATTTTGATTAAAGCAACAATTTAATCCAACATATATCTTGATTCAAATATGCTTTCATATATGTTTAAAGATATGTCCTATACCTAAGGAACTTAAGTATTTGAATATAAAGGTTAGTAATATATGCTTTAAGAATTTATGGATAGATAAAAAATCAGAAGAGAAGACTATATAGGAAACTTAATTGAATTTAAATAGCTTTTTTGTATCCGTAATCCAAAATTAAGAATTAAAGAACCTTTAGTCCTTTCAAAATGTCCTTAAAAAAATGTAGTTGATTTTTCAACATTTTATGATGAATTAAAGAAAATTGATTTTGATATTGAAAATAAAGGATTAACTTTATGTAAATGTCAGAGTTGTAACTCAAATCCTATTTGGACTATAACAGGAAACATTCATTTTCATGAACCATTTTATGAGGCTCTGAATAAGTTTTATAAATTAGATAATTACACATAATTAAAAAAATTTACTTATAAATTTTAGAAAACAGAGGAAAAGAGCTATATTAAAGAAGATAGAATGAAAAAAAATGAAAAAAAAATTAAACTAATATAACTAAATTAAACGGAGGAGAACTACGATAAACATAAATAACAAACAATTCTTCTTCGTAAAATAAATTAATTTAGAAATCCCATTTAAATATAAGAATTTTTCAGTAAAGATAGATTTATAAATTGTTAAAATGATAGAGAATATTAAAAGCTATTTAGTAAAAATTACTTTAGTGGTTACTAATATGAAATTGAACAGATTTTATAAAATATGGATGGTGCAGAAATCACTTATGAGAAAAATGGCATTCATTTAGATTCAAATAGAATAATATAAAAAGTAAATAGTAATATTGATAATTAATTGAATGAGTAATAATTCAAAGCAAATTAACTATCAGTTTAAATGTCTATTGATAATCTAAAAGTATCTAAAGAGCCATTTAATAATTTCAGTTGAAATATTTTTATTTAAAAATAATTAATATATTTAGCATTTTATTTATAATATAAATAATTATCTAATAATAAAATATTGTTCTAAAGAACTAATTAAACAAAAATATAAAACATAATTATATTAACTAAAAAATGAATTTGATAAATCAATGATTATTTGAAAAAAGTTTATGATTCGTTACAAAAAAATTCAGAGATTAATCTAATATAACTAATCAAATTTTAAATCAACACTTATTGATTTATGGTATTGTATAGTATGTGTATTATAATATCAGTAATCACTAATAATTCATTCAATCTCAATCTTTATATAAATATTTTATATAATAAAAAAGCTATATTTTTATTTATTATTTTATCAATTTAGAATTTGAAAATGATTATATTTAACATAGTTGTGTGAAGAATATAAATTTAATTTTCGTGATCATATTTTCGTTCAACTTCATTGTTTTATTTTTATGATTTAAATTGAAAACTATTGATAAAATTGAAAATCGACCAATAGAAGTAATTTTAAAAAAGTCTTATGATATTTAAGATGAAGATTTTATAAATCAGATATGTTCCTTTGAAAAATGAAAACAATCACGTCTAAAAAAATATGCAGATTTAAAAAATACAATCAGTTTTATTAATAAAAATGCTTAGTTATAATTTATAAAAAATAATAAAAGCCAAAAGAAAATCATATATTACTTAGATCTATAATTTATTAAAATTAAATTAATTAGTTTTATCTAAAATTTTATGATTAGAAAAGCTCGATAATTATTTAATCTCTCTTATTCTTTCTCTCAAAACAAAAATTAATTTTAATCAATTAAAAATTTAAATGCAAAATCGTGAATAAAATCAAAGTTTGATTAATGTATTCCCTCAACTACTTTAAACTAACTTTTTTGCAATAAGATTAGGAAATCACATTTTTTAAAATTCTATAATTAAAGATTTATTTATCTTATTTGTATAAAAAATTCTAATTTTTTCTATAATTTTACAGAATTGTTTTTTACTATTAGTAATTATCTAAATTTATTTTAGATGTTAATTTTAAGATAAAATATTTGATAAAATAATTTAATAAAAATCATTCTAATTGTGTAAAAATTAGGTTATATGGAATTAAAGAGAAAACTAAATTAACCATAGCCTCTTCTGGTTTTAAATTCTTTTTAATAACTAAATGGTAAAAAGCTCCTAGGGTGACTTCACTAAATTCTTAGAACATATTATGCCTGGAAATATCTATATAAACCTTTTAAGTAAACGTGCCATCATCAGTTAGGAATAGATCCAATATTTATTAATTTAATTCTCCATAATTTTGTAAAGTAAATATCTTAATAAATTGAATAAAAATACTTTAAGGAAGTTTAGTTAAGCAACTTTTTATAAATGAACGTACAAACTCATCTTTTATTGTGGTTAAACTATAAGATCTACTGAGAAAAAGGAATGTTTAGTAGTTTTATTTGATAGAAAATCTGAATAAATCTCTGAGATTTGCTAAATAAATAATAATAAAAGAGTATTACTTATTATAAATTTTGAATTCCTTCTTATGAGTAAGGTTCTTCTACAGTAGCAATTGCAACAGATTTATCTGTTTTTTAAGCCTATTCTAACATTCCAAAAAAGGTATTTCTAACATCCTCTTCATTTTCAGTTAATAAGGTATAAAATTCAGTTGTTTAATGTAAAGTCCAAAATGCTCTTGCAATAGTATCATCATTAATCATGATTTCTCCTTATGGAGGTTATTGTTCATAAATTGTTGTAAAAACAGTCAACATATATTTTAAATATTTACCATTAGGTTCAAATGAATCAAGTTTTTTTTTCGATTAAGGATGTAAAATAACTTAAGAAATATCAAATTCTTCACATTAAAATAGCTATTAGAAGATGCTTAAAAATGAACTAAACTCTTCTCCCATTTATTCTTCTCTTGGTTCTTCATCATAATATAATATCATTAATTTTTAATTAGGATCTTTTTCAATAAGATAAAATAGAAATGGATTATCTTCAAATGGGAAAAAATTTTTTTGCTCACCAAAGTTTGTTCTTGAAGTCCTTTCTTGAAATTTTATTTAAACATATTTATCTAATTCATCAAACTCTTCTGAAGTTTCTTCTTAAGCAAGGAGTTTGTCAAAAATGGCTAATAATTAATCAGTTTCATCGAAATCTAAAAAGTAAACTTCATCTTAAAGAATAAATTCTTCAAATAATTAAATAACATAATCAAAAGAATTGAATTCTTACATTTAAATAGGAGTATTTTTTCCATATTTTGTTCCTTTGGTATATTTATTAACTAAGTTTAAATTTTCTGGGGTTATAAGAATTTATTCGATTTCTTCTCCTTCATCATCTTGATGTAATATATCATTTAAATTTTATGGTCTCTCCTCTTCAGAATCTAAATCAAGTTCAGCTCCAGGTTTCATTTGAGGTTATTAATATTAATTAACTCCTATATTATAAATTATAAATATACCTCTTTATGGTTACTATTATTAAATAGGTTTTTAGGCTGCTTTATTTTAATTCATATCCAAGTCATAATTATCAAGATCCATATCATCATCATCTAAATCAATGGCATAAGGATCAAAAGCTTTTGGTTACTCATATTATTTTGGAGGATCTGGTTTTTTTTGTGGTTCTTGATTTTTTGGTTTATCTTAAAATTGTTCTTATTTAGGAGGATCTGCTTTCTTTTGAGGTTCTTATTTAGGAGGGTCTTGTTTTTTAGGTGGTTCTTATTTAGGAGGTTCAGGTTTTTTTGGTTCTTATTTAGGAGGGTCTGGTTTCTTAGGAGGTTCTTATTTAGGAGGATCGGGCTATTTTGGTGGTTCTTATTTAGGAGGATCAGGTTTCTTAGGTGGTTCTTGTTTAGGAGGTTCAGGCTTCTTTGGTGGTTCTTATTTAGGAGGGTCAGGTTTCTTTGGTGGTTCTTGTTTTGGAGGATCTGGTTTCTTAGGTGGTTCTTATTTAGGGGGTTCTGGTTTCTTAGGTGGTTCTTATTTTGGAGGTTCAGGCTTCTTTGGTGGTTCTTATTTAGGAGGTTCAGGTTTTTTTGGTGGCTCTTATTTAGGAGGATCAGGTTTCTTTGGTGGTTCTTATTTTGGAGGTTCAGGTTTTTTTGGTGGCTCTTATTTAGGAGGATCAGGTTTCTTTGGTGGTTCTTATTTTGGAGGTTCAGGCTTCTTTGGTGGCTCTTATTTAGGAGGATCTGGTTTTTTAGGTGGTTCTTATTTAGGGGGTTCTGGTTTCTTTGGTGGCTCTTATTTGGGAGGATCAGGCTACTTTGGTGGTTCTTACTTAGGAGGATCAGGTTTCTTTGGTGGTTCTTGTTTAGGAGGATCAGGTTTCTTTGGTGGTTCTTATTTTGGAGGTTCTTGTTTTTTTGGTTGTTCTTATTTAGGAGGGTCAGGTTTTTTAGGTGGTTCTTATTTTGGAGGTTCTTATTTCTTTGGTGGCTCTTATTTAGGAGGTTCTTATTTCTTTGGTGGCTCTTATTTTGGGGGATCTGGTTTTTTAGGTGGATCTTATTTTGGGGGATCTGGTTTCTTAGGGAGTTCTTATTTTGGAGGTTCTTTTTTTTTAAACTGATCAATCAAATCTTATTTGTTTAATGGTTATCCTAAAATATCATCAATATAATATCCTGGTTTTGATGCTACATAAACATTTCTATCTAAACTTGGAACATTTTAATTTTTTTTATTATTTATCTCTTTTTCATATTTGCCTTCTTCATTTGATGGTTTTTGATAATCCTTCATTTATCTTTCATAATAATGTTCATTGGTTATAGAACTACCTTCCATAATTTTACCATTATTTACATTATAAATTGGTCTAGTCGTTGAATCCTCTTTAAAAAGATCTCTTTAATGCTATTATCTAATCATTAATTCTATTTAACCATTAACTAATTCAGATCTTCTTTTCATTTCATTTTCTTACTCTTTTTACATATGATCTCTAACATGTTATTATCTTTGTAATTCTTTCTATACTTATTACAAATAAGGATTTTATTTATTCTTAGCCAATTATTATTCAACAGACTTATCTGTTTATGATATTTATCCTTAAAACTTAGAAAAATCTTAAGAACTTAATAAAGATGATAATTCACTATATAGACTATCAATATGTTATTTTATTTAATTTGATTCTGGTTTTCTTCCAGGTGTCATATTCAAATAATATTATTTTGCTTTTTCCAAAGCCTCTTAAAGCTTACTTTCAATTAAAACTTTCGATTCATCTTTATGATCCAAAATATCCTTGAATAATGATACAGCATCATATTATAAATTTGAAGCCTTATTTGAAAAGACATTTAATTTCTGTAATTATTGTAATTACTATTCACTTGTCAAAGGAACCTTTCTTAGATCTTCTTCATTAATTCTATCCTCTAAAATTAAATAGTAATTTTCATCTTCTTTTAAGGATTCCCATTCATTTTGAATTTTTAATAACTTTTTATGAAGTTCTTCCCTTTTCTTTTAATAACTACTTTTTTCTGTTGTAGCGAATTAAAAATATTCAGGAGCCAATTCCTTCAGTTCCTTATTAATTTAATTATAAAATTCATTGTAAATAATTCTTCTATCCCTCATACATACTGTTTTACTTACATAATACAAATCATCTGTGGTCATTTAAGGATCAGTTCTATCATTTATAATTTAATGAAATCTAAATTATTTTAATTAATTACTTTGATAAAACTACATCTTTATTGAATACAAATAATGGACTTGTATTTTCATGTTCTGTAGCTTCTTTAATTTATTTCATTGAAATTAAAAACATTGAATCAATTAGTTCTTCAATTTTTTAGAATTAAGTGAGATCATTATTGCATACTCTTTCTAATAAATCTTCTAGATTAAATTTTGTTATATTTATAATAAAATGCCACCCTTAATCATATTTTAATAGTTCATAAACTCTCAAAATTTGATCAATTTTCTTAATAACTTCTCTATCATATTCTTGAGGAGTTTTTCTAGATGCAAATTTAGTCAAAAGATCATTTGACATATCAATTAATTTTTATCGAATATGTTATCTTATTTCTCCAATTCTGTAATCACCTGGAATTTATTCTTTTTATTGTTTTCCATCTAATTTAAATACATTTTAATCAAGATGATCAAAAAATTTGTGTAATCTTTTATCTAGAACAAAAAAGAATTTTTTTAAAAAGTCATCAATATGAAAACCTATATTATATCTAAATTTTTACCATTTGTTATCAAATGTCCAAAAGTTAAATTTAACTTTTACATTTGCTCATCGAATTATTAAATATTTTTCCTAATTAAGGGAAAGTGTTTTTGTAAGTGTCTAACAAGTTCTTAAGGATCAAAAATTTTAATTGCTTTGTAATTAGGTTTCATAATTATGTCTGGTTCAAAGACTTGCTTATACAAAGCTTTTGGATATTCTTTATGATAGCCAACAGAATTAGAAGCTAAATAAGGAGTTATAGCAATTTATTGAGGATATTCCCTATCTAATTGCATTTTAAATTATTTTATATTATATTCTGTTACGAGTAAATATTCAAATTTTTGTATTCAATTATATAAATAAAAAATGAAAATTCAAAAATAATCTTTAATTCAATCTTGCGTATTTCTAGATTAAAGTGTTAATAAATTATTCTTAAATTTAGTTTAATTATTTATTTCTTTAGTTTTCATTTAAATTTGAATATTGTATGAGTATCTTTTAAAGTTTTCCACTATCATATCAGCGTATTTTATATTCTGCTCTGTATTTAAAATACTGTTATTATTTAGTATGATTATATAAAGTAGGATTTATGTTTAGAGGCTTTAAAATTTAATTAATTTATTCATTGATCATCATTTATATTGTTTGATGTGTGGGATACAATTATTATTTTTCAATTTAAACTAAGAACTAGAAAGCTTGTATCTTCCTATTCACTTGGAATTTTTTTGTATATACTTTGAATCTTTGTAAGAAACTTTTTCAAAATAAATATTTATTATATAGATATTTGAGAATTATAATCATTAATTTGTAAAATTCATTATGTACTTGAAAATAAAAAATTATTTGGTCTGAAATGAAATTGATGATGTTGAATTTTCTATTCAATCTGAAAATTAATAATGTCGGTACTTTATTTACAAAATTATTTTATTAAATATCATTATTTGATGAACTCTGAATTATACTCTGATAGAGAACTATTATAAGGAATAAAAAAATCAGAATCTATGAGAAGTTAGAGACAATTAAAATCATGCCCAGCATACTTGAAAACATTGCAATTTCAAAAATATTAAAATATATAGAGATCAGAAAAAACTTAATAGTTTTCTAAGGCAAACCCTTTAAATGTTTTTATAAGAATTATTAGATTCATCACATTAATTACACAATCAATTTTTCCGTAGGATTTTAAATATTTGGATTCCAATATGTTTAAAATAATTGGAGATAAAACTGCAGATTTTAGTTTTTATGTCAAAAATGATTACTTTAAATATATAGTAAATATTATTTAATCATAGAAAGCTGCTCCAGAATCTAGGATATAATAATTTTTATAAATGACTATACTTAGATACTACACTATACAATAATTAATAGAGTACTTATCTCATGCTAAATTTCTTTTTAAACCTGAGTAGACACAAATGCTTATATGGAATATATATTTGCTTATAATGATAAATTTTAACTTTTTATATTGTTCGATAAAATTTGCATTTAATTTTGATGAAAGGGAACCAGAATATTATAAGGAAGGTGAAGTATTTTTGCTTATAATACCATTCATAAGTTATTTGATAGATATTTTAGTGAAATTAAATAGTGGTTATTATGAGGCAGGATATTTGGTGACAGATAGAAAGAAGATTATAAAACATTTTTATAATTCAAATGAATGCATAATTGATTCACTAATAATAATGATATCATTAGGATATTTTTTTGATGGTAATAATAATAATATTTTGTCTTTATTTATGATAATAAAAATGTTGGATGTTCCATAAAGAGTAGGATTGATATTAGATAAATTAGAATTAACAACAAATTATTGGGCAATATATGATTTAATAAGATTGATATATTTTATAATAATAGAAGCTCACACATTTTGTTGTTTTTTGTATTTTGTTGGTAAATAAAATAAGAGTGTATCATGGATAATAAAAGAAGATTTGATAGAAGCAGATTTAACAACAAGTTATGTAAATATAAAATTAATTTTAGTTGACAACATTTTATTGGAGTGTGATAACAATGACAACAATAGGATATGGAGATTTTACACCATAGAATTTAAGTGAGAGAGTTTTGATAATATTTGTAGCAATAGTATCATGTTGTACATTTGGATTTTTTGTATCATCAATAGGATAAATAATATATTCTATATAAAAAAAGGAATAGTAGATACGATTAGATTTAAATGATTTAAAAAAATATCTTAGAGTGAGAGGATTTAATTAAGAATTATAAATAAAAATACGTAGATATTTTGAATATTTATGGAATGATTGTATGGGATAAGAATAATTGGATATGTTTAAATTATAATAATAATTACCTAGTAATTTATATAATGTAATTTTACAAAGAATTATTATTTTAGGAAATGATTCTAGATTTAAATTTGAAGAGTATTTCTAAGATTCCATTTTTTCATGATAATTTTAGTTCTGATTTTTTATAGGCTTTAGCTGGTGATTTTGAAGAAGAGAAATTAACACCTTGGTAAAGTATATTTACAAAAGGAGAATAAAGTTAATATCTATATATATTATGTGAAGGAGAAGTAGAATATTATGTATCACTTCCTGAAGGTTCTGGAAATTGTATATCAATATAGAAAATGGATGGATAAGATGAAATCTTTGGATAATAAGATTTTTTATTAGATTAAAATTATTCAATTAATTGTAGAACAACTAAACCATCTAGGATATTAAAAATACATAGAGATAAATTTTAATAAATAGCTAAAAAATATGGTTATGTATATATAATAATATAATTAAAATAGGAAAAATATTGTTAACTTAAAGATTTAGTTAAATTTTCAGGAAGATTTGATGAATTTCATATTTAATGTATTGGATGTAATAAATCAACGCATTTATTATACAATTGTCCAATGTTAACAGGATTTCCAAGTAGAACTAAAACATTATTGAAATATAAGAAAAAATATTGTTAGGAAAGGTAGGTTATTAGGAGAACTAATTTAGAAAGGAGAATTTCAACATTAAGTTTAGAAAGTAAAATTTCAGATAGTGTTTTATATTATTTATTGAAAGATCCTAAGATGTCAGAATAATTGAATCATTAAATTAAAAGAAATATGTAATCTTCTTAAAATGGATCTCTTAGGAAATCTTAAAAAAAAATAACTAATTTACCAAAAAGAGGAGTACCTATTTTTTTAAGTCAAGAATAATATTCAAGAACATTAGATACTAATTTTTAAGAGAATTTAGGATTTTAATATAATAAAGGTAATAATAATAAATAAGAGAAAATAATTACTTAATTTGATTAAGAAATTAGTTTTGATGAAAGTTCTAAAATAATAGCAGCAATAAATAAATAGTTTTTAACGAAAGGAACTATAAATTCAAATAATAATTTAAAAAGTAGTGTAGTAATATAAGAAATAGAAAAAGATTGGGATTCAAAGGATGAAAAAACATTATTAATAGAATCTAAAAGTAATTTAATTTGTATATACAAAAAAGGAGGATATCATTAAGAATCTATGGGAAGATATAAAGATATATTTGAATGTTTTGAATATTAAAGAGATTATGAATCATATATGCCACATATGAACTTCAAATTAATACAAGAATTCTTTTAAAAGAGTAGAGAAATTGATAGTTTTCATAATTTCATTGATGTAAACATAGTAAAGAGAAAATGGAAAAGATCTAAAATAGTTGTTGTCTTGGAATCTTGAAATATTAATAATTTTAATGTCTTATTAACCGAAGGGATTCAATGCAATAAAATTATAGTAGATAAATCAGACCATTTTTAAGACACGTAAAAGTTAAGAACATCCTTGTGACATTTCTTCTGAATATCAATCTAGAAACAATTCTATAAAACATTCTAGAGCTATTACATAACATAATTAAAGAATAATAAATGAAGATGAAACATTTAAACTCATGAGACCTTAAACATCTGAAGGAAGTAGAAGAAATAGAATTACTGACAATTAAACTTAAATTGGAGGAAATCTTAATTCAAACATAAAGTGTGATATACTTGAATGTGAAAATGAAGATGATAATTAGTATTCAATCATTCATTTATTATAGGGAATATCAAATATAATAAAATTATCATATCATTTGCAATCCCAACAATACATCTAGAAATACATAAACAAAAGTTTAATTTTAGACTACTCTCGATCGAGATTTTCTAAGTTTGTTTGCTAATGATTGATTAATTAATCTTTAAATTATTTGTATTATTAATGCTAAGGTAATTTATTTGTAGGTTTATTACATTTGTTACACATTAATTTTCATTATCATAAGTTAATTAATTATAACATCAATATTTTATAATACTAGAATTCTCATTATATTATTTTATATATTATTGTCACCTTCTGTATAATCTATTCATTAACCTAATATTTAAAAATAATTATGCAACATTATTTTTATTATAATTATTTTACTAATTTCTGTTATCAGAATTTATATATTAATTTATTAACATCTAAATTTATAATCTATAGAGCTAAACAATTATTATATGCTATTCAATCGAGATCAACAACTAGTCTTTCAAGAGTTACTCGAATACTCGAATTCAATTCAAATCAAAACATTTTTAACATTTGAGTTTTATATAAAGTAAAAATGAAAAGTTTGAATTCAAATAACCTTAATCATGAACAATATCAGTACTAACAATTATATAAGAATAACAGTAATTATAAATACTAATATGATATTTAATAACTATTTAGAAATAACTTAGAAGAAAATTGTTTAGTTTAGGGTTTAATAGGTTTATGAAATATAGGAACTTATATTATTAAAGAATTTTCAATCTTAAAAAATATATTCAAACCAAAGAAAAATTTATAAACAAATCATGTTAATTAAGACTGTGTGGATATAAAAAAATATTTAATGAAAAAATGATAACTAAATTAATTTAGATTTCTATTTATCAAATAGAAAGTTTAAAATGAGAATATTAAACACATGAAAGAATCTATTTTTAATAATTATGTTTTGATTTATCATTATGGAATTATCAAAAAAATTAATCAGATATATCAAAAGCTTTTGATTGATGGTCCTATATTTTAGACAGATTAATCAATATTAAATAAGGGTTTAGATAAAATTATCAACTACTTTTAAGAAAAACTATAATAATAAGAATTGATTAAACATACAAAAATATTGCAAAATTTATAAAAAATTGAATTTAGTGTATCTAATGTTGAAAAGTCAATAGTTGAAGAATATCAAATATTGGATTAATCATTATAATAGATTAAACTAATAGGAATTGATTTTATTCATAACTCAATATATGGTAATAAAAATATAATAGAATATAAAAAATAATAAACTAAACCTTTAAATATCTTTAATCTAATACAGAATTAGGATGACTTAAAATAATATCATTAAAATTGAAAAATTAATCAAACGAATTTATTTACTAATTTGTTCAATGAATTCTTCATGATAATGTAATCAATAATTCAAATTGAAAGATTTAATAGTATTTTTGGATTCTAAATGCTAAAATAGATATTTGATCACGATGTATTTGAATAGATAATTGATAAAATATTAGATGATTAATAATAATAGTAAATTAAACTTAAATTTTAATCTTGATATGTTATGTTCACAACTACTTTAATTATAAGCACAAATTTAAAATCAATAATGGTAATATATTTTAAGATCGTAATAATCTGAAAATTTATTATTAATTATTGAAAATGAATTTAATTTGATAATTTGTAACAAAAAAATGTATTTATGATCAATCTATACAAATTGGATTTTCCATATCTTTTCCATTTTTATCCTCATTATTACTGTTGGGTTGAGGAGATTTTAATTTTTGTAAAGGTTTTTCTTTCATTTTAGTTTAAGGAACTTATGTTTACTATTATTATTGTGGCTATTATTATAATAATAATTATTATTATGTCTATTGTTACTATTATTACTATTATTATATTCCTATTGGGGGATTTTAATTACTTAATGCTTTTTAAATTAAAGCGCTAGATTCTTATTATTTTTAATTGATTAATGATTATTGAAATACACTTTATGAAGCAGAAAATCCTTAAGGAAGACAAAATTAGAATTATTTTAATTACTCTTCTCCTAAAGTTTTTAAATCTTCATTTTGCTTTTCAATCTATCCAGGATTTTACATTATAATTTGATCAGCCAACATTTTAGTGAATTGAGTACAAGTATTAATTTTAGGTTTGTCTTCAGAGAATTTATAGACATATTTCTTTGTAGCACTTTATTATTATTATTATTACTATTATTATGTTTATTAAGGATTTTTAATATTATTTTCAGTAGTAACATTCATATTATTATTAGCAAAATTCTTTCTAATAAATTCTGAAAATTATTTTTTAATAATTCTAACCATCCTTTCTTTTAATCTATTAGACTTTTATATTGGTTTATCATTTTCTATACTTTAATTTTATTATTATTATTATTATTATTATTATTACTATTATTATTATTATTATTATTATTATTATTATTATTATTACTATTACTATTATTATTATTATTACTATTACTATAATTATTATTATTATTATTACTATTACTATAATTATTATTATTATTACTATTACTATAATTATTATTATTATTATTACTATTATTATTCCTACTACTATTATTATTATTCCTACTACTACTACTATTATTATTATTATTGTTAATCTTATTATTACAATGATTATTTTAATTCTAAATTTGATTATTCTTCATTTAATTATTATTCATTTATCTATTTTTCTAAATTCTTTTAAGCAAGTTCTTATTATGAAAATTCTTCTACCCAAGTTTCAAATTTTTTGAATTTGATGAATTTAGGTTTAGTGATTGTCTAAGAAGATAATTATGATTATAAAGAATTTAATTTTCCTTCAATGTTAGACAAATTAGATTCAACTAATTATTTTAACTAAGCTTTATTTTAAGTAGAAATGATGTTTTCATTTTTATCTTTTTATGACTACTACTATTATTAGATTTGTTGTTGTTATTATTGCAAAGCAGTAATTTGTCCAAATTATTTTTAATATAATTACAATTACATAATAGTAGCTGCAGGATTAAGTAAAATATATCTAGAGAGAAGTGAAGAATCAGGTAATGATTATGAAAGTGTTAATTTTTGTTATTCTTCTGATAGATTTTATTTATTAATACTAATTTATTCTTCTTCAGATTCTTCTAATTCTTCTTTGATTTCTTACACAATTTATCCCTAAGAATAAAAATAAATAGTAATTACATTTTAATCAAAGACTACTTCCTTAATATTTTCTTTATTATTTCTATATTATTCAAGTAATTGCAATTAGTATTGATCTATAATAATATCAAAAATCTTTTTTTTGCAAACAGGACATTTCCATTTTCTTGAAGTTCCTGCATTAATAGTAATAGTGTTTTCTAGAGAGAAACATTATACATGATTGCAAAACCTTCCTCTAGCAGGTGTCTAATAATAAATAAATAATAATTTACTTAAATCATTTGATAATCGAATTAACATTTAAGTGATGCTTTAATAGTTATTTTATCTATCTATACATCATTGTCAGTTTTTTCAGAGACACATGCTTTTTAAATAAGTTGAATACACTCTTCTTTAGTTTTAATAGATTCTTTATTCTATTTGATTTGATTAATCAATTCTTAATGAGGTCGTTTCTTCGTAAGATAAATAGCCTATGCATAAACTCCACTAAAAATAAGTACAAAGTAATACTCTTCGCATAATTTAAATTAAGACTTGGGTTCCTAATAATTTAGACCTTCCTTAATTACAATTTAATTATAGCCTGATTTAAGGGATAAGGTTAAATTGGTATGCTGTAAAGGAATTATATAAATTTCATCTTTTCTTTTTTTAAGACTGCTATTAGATTTAAGTGGTTTAAATTCAATCAAACGCTATTGATTCATTTATATTTCACAAAAATCAGGCCAGGTAATCTCATTCATGTATTTAGCATCCAATCTAATTGATCTTAATTCAACTTAGTGTTAAAATGATCGATCTTATAATTGACTAATTGTAAACATATTTATTATACTGATATTCTTCATTTGTAAGAAAAAAATTATGAGTGATTGACTAAGTATTCATCAAAATTGGTTTGGTTAAAACTTTGATTATTTAATTGAGTGGATCTATTTTACTTAATATACAAACTGGACACTCAAACATCTTTATGTCTTAGGGTTGTAATTTTAAACAGGAAATATGTAGTTTATTATCGCAATTAATGCATTTAACTTCCTCATTTGTTAGTCTTTTGGCGGGAATGATTCTTTGAATATTAAGAATTTTCTTACTTACATGGACACATTAGCAGTTGTTACATTTCATTTTAAGGAACAACAAGTGGGTCATTCCATTGATCTAAATATTACATAATACATACTATTATATTGATAGTAAAATTACTGCTAGGGATTTTACCTGATTTACTATTGATAAAGATTCATATTCATAATTGGAGGATATTATGCTAATAATTATTATTGAGCTTGTTATGATTATGGGAGGACCATCTTATAATAAATCAAATTTTATACATAATTGAGATAAGGGTTAGACATATTAGGTACAATTTATGGGATATTAACTGCTCCTCGCATTTGAGGTTATTGTTAGTATTATGATGTTTTATTGATTATTTTTTCTTAAAACTTTTTTAATATAGACATTATAGTCTCGTTGTTTAATAGGTTTGGTTAGTGTTGAATAATTTAGTCTACAGGTCTGGATGGATCAGCTTATATCAAAATCTATAGAAGCTATTTAGGAATCTAGGCTATAATTTCTTCTTTTTTTTTTTTATCAGGTATATTCAGTTCTTTTGCAATTTATTATAGTTGTTTTTTTCCTAATTTTTATAAATGCACACTATCCACAGCATCTCTAATTGGCTTCTCATATACCTAAGCTATTTAAGTGTTTGGGGGATTTAACATCCCAAAATTTGACATATTTAGAAAACTATATATTAGAATGCTTCTTTACTTGAAATGAGGTTGTCCAGACATTCTGTTTCTTTTATATTTAAATTTTGATCTTTAACTAAAAAGATTCGTCATTCCCAGCACACATCCCCCATACTTAATTTAACTTTTTAACTTTATGGTATTTACAATTTAAGTGAATGTCGTATCTTTTTTAATTTTTTTTAAAAATCCCCTTATTTAGTGTTTCTTTTAGTTATTTTATTAATATATTTTTTATATCCCCTTAAAATGAAAATCAAAAATCTTCATTGTTCTACACCTTCTCAAATACTTCCCTCTTCATTTTTAGATATGAAGATATACTTAGACACTATCACAAAATAACCTCTTAAATTGTAACTGTATACAATTTTTTATTTTTATTTCTTAATCTAATAAATTTATTTTGCTCTTTCTAAAAGACATTTTCCAATTCATAATCCTAAGTTAAATTTCATATCTCATTAGATTACTCTAAACTGACTATTTTTATTTACTTAACTATTGTTAAATAATGATATTATTATTTAAATTTACAATAAAATAAATGAGATCTATAAATTCACCTTAAATTACTTTACTTTTTGAGATCCTATTACCTAATATTTTTGAAGAACTTTCTCATTAATCACATTTAACCTTCTAAAATTACATATTTATCTAACCTAAACGATTCATATTCCAATAATACTTATGATTAGACAAACAGCTTATGTAATATTATAACCATTATATATATTCAACATATTTTTTTTACATTTCTTGAGCATAAATCATATCTGTATATAGAGATAACCTATTCAAAACTTTGTCTCTATATTCAGATATGAGTTTATAACTATTTTTTTTTATTTAGTAAAAGAAATTCAGTAAGTATTTTTAATTATTCATTAAGTATATCATCTGAATAGACTAAAAGATGAAATAGCATTGCAAAAATAGAGATTTGTATAATTTATTTAAAGTAATTATAATGAGATAGATTTAAAAAATGGATGAAAAATTTAGAATCTTTAAGGAAAATTAGAATTTATAAAACTTTTGGAGTTGCTTGTAATAAGATGAATTGAACTATTTTTGAGAATAATATATAATCTTAAAAGTTTGATTATTTTTTTTGATGAAATAAACATAATATAAAATGAAAAATTTGTTTAATAAAAGATTAAGATTCTTCAATTTTAACAACAAAAATCGTAATATAGTTTTATACCTAATTAAGAATGATAGGGATCTTTTTGAAATAATGAAAATAAAGGATTTTGATTCAAGAAGAAAATAATGGAAATAAAATATTATTGATTTTATTATTAGTTTATTATTGTTATCATTTAATTATGAACTGTATTTTTAATTTTATATGTTTATTCATAATAAAGAACTATATGGTTGTTCTTTAAAATAATAAGAATAAGAAACTATTATAGCATTGACAACATATGGAGAGGGCAGCTAAGAATTATT